TGAAAGTGCGCCCGACCACATTCGCTTGCAGAGGCAACTAGGCAATCCTCCACCGCAGATCATGGAGGATCCAGATTACCTTCCTCCAGCTGCTGAGGGTATCACTGGCACTGACCTTGACGCCTTGGTAGCTAATTACAGTCAATCAGAGGTCTCCGAATCTCTGCGTGAGGACATCTACGCAGCCATTGCCAATGCCAGCGCCGCCAATGGACACGCTGATGCACGGATGCCCAATGGAACATCGTACAGCGGTAAAGTCAAGGGCTACCGAAAGGTCGGATGGATCCGTCAGTTCCTCATTCTGTCGCGCCGTACATGGAGGAATATGTACCGCAACCCGATGCTCATGCTGACCCACTATGCCATTGCCATTCTCCTTGCCGTCCTCATCGGCTTCTTGTTCTACGGTCTTACGGACGACATTAAGGGATTCCAGAACAGACTCGGTCTTTTCTTCTTCTTGCTCGCCCTGTTTGGGTTCAGCACACTTACCAGCTTGACTGTTTTTGCCCCGGAGCGCCTCATTTTCATGCGCGAGCGCGCCAAAGGTTACTATTCGCCAATTTCTTACTTTTCTGCCAAAGTTCTCTTCGACATTGTGCCCCTTCGCTTGATTCCTCCCATCATCATGGGCGCGATCGTCTACCCCATGACAGGCCTCATCCCCGACGGGGCCGAATTCTGGAAGTTTATGCTTTTCCTCGTCCTCTTCAACCTGGCCGCCGCGAATATCTGCCTATTCATCGGCATCATATTCAGGAACCAGGGTGTCGCCAATCTCATCGCTACGTTGGTGATGCTCTTCAGTTTGTTGTTTGGCGGCTTCCTCTTGAACCACGAAACCATTCCTAAGGCGGCCCTGTGGCTACAAACGGTAACTCTTCCCAGCACTTTTATACTCACATCGTATGCTGATATCTCTATACTAGCTCTCTATCTTCCATTACGGCTTCGAAGGTCTCATCGTCAACGAAGTCAAGTACCTTTCGCTCGTCGATCACAAGTACGGCCTCGACATCGAAGTCCCCGGCTCTGCCATCCTCAGCAGCTTTGGCTTCGACGTCATGGCGTTGTGGCGCGACGCGATCGGCCTTGCCGTCTTTGGCGCCGTCTTTGTCGTCCTGGCCTACGCCAGCATGCACCTGTTGCTGATTGAGAGGCGGTAAGAGATTGGAAGGTCGTTACATGTATCTGTGCGGCTGTTACGATAGACAGAGTGCTGTGCTTTGGAATCAAGGCCGGACGACAATGACATGCCTGTCTGCCTAGGTTTCAAGATCTTTCACGCTGCTTTTGTTGAAGCGTCTATAGACCGGATGTGGAGGCCCGAAAGCCGCGTGGGATATGCTCACGTATCAGTTGCTTGACTGGGACATCGAAAGGGAGCGCATGTTTAAGGGAGTATAATACACAGAAGACGGAGAGAACGGGACGGCAGTGAGAAAAAGCTATTTAGCTACTGAGTGGCGCTTTGTGTATGTACATATTCTTACGTGCTGTCTGCATTTGCATAATACTTGACTTGGTAATTTGGAGCAACGAACGGTGGTATTGCTATGTCGTACCGTGTGATACGCACTTCTTAGCTTGGGCAGGTGAGTACACCTATAACTAGGCAAATATGACTGGAACATGCTCGTCTGCAGTTCGATTTCCCGGTTGATTCGAGTCAATCACTTCAAAATCTTCCAATGCCAGAGGAATCTACACAGATTACAAGGCAAATCGAAGCGAGGTCTTTCCTGAAACTTCCCATTTCGGTTAGCCGCATGACTTCGGGCGCTCCATTGGGGAAGCGACCGTGACGAATGTTCAGACTGCGGATACATAATACCGTACGCACCGCGGGTGTTTGGAGTTGATTACTTACAAGGAGCTTGCAGATACAGAAGAAGCTTGTAATCAGAAACCAGAGCTTCACATCATCCCGTAATTCGGATCAATGTTTAAAGTTGCTCCGCCCTGCCCTGAGCCTCGGTAGTGCCTTTGGGAAAGCTTGGAATGTTTCAAAGTGATCTAGACGTATCTCGAACGAAAGCTTCGTCACGTCAGAGTTTGCGTGTTCGTTGTTGATTCCTTGCAGCAAAGCGGCAGAGTGGCTGAGCGGTCTACCCGAAGAAGTCAACACGAGAAAAGGAAAGCATTTGCGAAGGTGTTAGGTAAGTAAACAGACCTGGCAGACGATCCGTCCATGGGCTTGCCTTGGGGTTTTGGAACAGGAGTAAACTGTGTTCTATTGTATTACGCAGTACCGTTGCTGAAAGGTAAGGTTTCTGTTTCATGGCAGTTGAGCTCCGCATTTTTTTGCCTCTTTATTGGTAGCCATCCCAGTATTCTCATGACGGAAGTACAACTTGTCGGATTCGAATTCGTTCGTCTCTTCATGTGCCCATTCTGACATCGGTCCGTGAAATTGATTCCGCTAACACCTCGCTTCGCGCTTCGTGCCAGCTAATTTCTGGGAATTGAGGATGAAGCGCCTTTTTTTGCAACGAAACCATGCAAATATTCCCGCGCAACGGCAGTTAACAGCCCTGCCGAGAGGTCTATGTGAGGCGGCATCAAAAGAGTACGTAAGTACCCGACTTATTTGCGCTCAACTGTCGCCGCACAGCTTAACCAAACTACTTCGCCTTTTTATCTTAATGCTGATACTAAAGCCGAAACTAGCGACTCAAAATAAAATAAATCACTAAGCTGTGTTGGTCACTTCTAACAAGCATCCAGGCCAATGACGAGTCTTCCCCAGCCTAACCGCGCCGGTCCGTAACCAGGATCCCAGAATGACCCTCTGCTTAAGGTTGCCAGCCAATTAGGCATGTAATCGTGCAAATGGAGATAGTAGCGGCTTCCTAATGCTACCTGTCGGAAATTGCACCCCTGCTTCCTGGCGCTGATTAACTCTATTTCAAAGGTTGCTTCGTTAGAATCGCTAGCAGTGCCTTGAAAGCCACAAAGCTTAAGACACAAATCGTTGATGACGTCTAGTTGATGATTAAGCGCAACTTGTCGTAGTGAAGCGGTTGCGTGGAAGTATAAATGTGCTTTCCTGCCACCCCTCTCAATTCGTCTCGTCTTCCAAGATTGCACTGTTGTTCGAGCTCTGAAAAATCATGATAAGAATTATTTTCATCCTACTCGCGCTCGCCGCTGCGCTAGCCTCTGTCTCCGCTATTCCTCAAGGTCCAAACGAGATCGACAAACCACAGAAAGAGGAAGGTGACAACGCCAATTTCTGCAACGGTGTGATTGGATTTTCTAAGGTTTTGATAGCTGGAAAAGGAAGCGTGAGTGCAACGAGGTGTCCCCTTCGTTGAGAAATTTCCATTACTGACATTCAACACATGCAGCCTCGTGAAGAAAGGCTGAATCCCAAGCAACGCATTAAGATTACCAAGCCAATGATTGTAGATGCTGTTGCTGCCTGTAGGCAAAATTTACAATCAGAGTGCAAAATGATTATCTGCAATCTCTACTCCGGACAAGTAAACAACAACCCTTGTGGGTCTTCCAGTCACCCACCGACTTTGGAGAATGTGAATCCGGACTCGCACAACGGCGATCACGAGTTTTTCGACCCCGCTTGTGCCACATAAATCACGCAGGACTTCGGCTCTGCCTGTTTTTGATTAGAAAGGATGATGAGTTGGTACATACGGTGGTCGAATTTTTGAATTGCTAGTTCATAATTGCTCGCTTCATGGGAAGTTGTTCGTTTTGCAGAAGCCTTAGGTTGAAGGCTGGCGTCTTCTTTGTTAGATGAGACGAATGTGTAAGTAAGACGAACGTGAGGACGTAACCTTCTGAATGCGTTTATGTTCCGGCTGTGGTTTAGCCTAATAAATGAATTTCGCACGCTCGCACAAGGTTTGCACGCGCGAGGTGTGTTTTCGATCTTGGCCCGTCTCTAGGCCAATAAAGGCCAACGTAGAACATTTTTGCAAGAACAAGAAAGTTAAACGATGGTTTTTGGCTGGGCATATGCCGCCTAAATGGCTATGAGGACAGAATACGAACCAGGAGTATAAAACCAAGAACAGCCCGGCGAGCCTCATGTCAAATGTTTGCCCAAAATCTGCGTGTCTGCTGGAGTCCTTGTCAATTCTAACCATGAGATTCTCAATTGCTGTTTCTCTTTTGGCGTCTCTTGTCGCGCTCGTCGCCGGACAGAAAGCCGCGACGGTAGACAAGACGAGCGGAGCGGCAGTCGAGGGCGACTGCGGGATCGTCGGATTCACAAAGCCTATCGAGGGCGAGGCGGTGCGTGCAGTACTCTTTGTCTTTCAAGTAGGAACTCCAGAACTGACGATAGTCTCTAGGTTACCAAAAACACGCCCTTGGAAATTAAAGAACGCCTACTGCCCTTCAGATTCGACGTCCTGGATTGCATCGCGTCTTGCAAGAAGCAGATCGGACCGGAAAACTGCAAGACGATCCTCTGGAGCCTCAAGTTTGCCCAATGTGCGATGACCAGTAGAACGCTTGACAGCGCCATTGTTCGAGACGTGCGCGGCGACACATTGTTCTACAGTCCGGAATGTTCCGATCAAATCAAGGATCCCAAGAACCCTTTGGCTCTTGTCGTCCAGGGACAGAACTGAGGAGGTGGATGTGGAGGCGAGGATGACTGTGGATTCGCATTCGCTTTTGCTTCCCTTATGAGCGTCTCAGGTGTTATTTTCTCCCCCGTTGACGGAGGTTGCCCAGTGTAAGCTGGATTGATTGCTCTTGCAACGCGGAAATGGTCCGAGTCTCGCTGATGGCATCCGCGGGTGAACATTCGGGCCGGTCGGATGAAGAGGAACATGTTTACGGACAAAGTCTTTGGTGCCTCCTTTACAACAGAATCAATGGAGTTTACGATGAGCAAGGTCGAGAACAACGACAGTGATTTCGGCAGCAGAAGGAAATCGGAGGGGGATGGACTCGCAGGAGAAACAGATTCACGTGATAGAAAATACATTGTAGTACAATGTTGTGGCAAAATACTTGTTATTGCGAGATTAGTGTAGTGGTTATCACGTCAGTCTTACAAATATCTAACACTGAAGGTCGGTGGTTCGATCCCGCCATCTCGTAGTTTTGCCCATTGGGCGTCCTCTTTTGGCCCCTTGATGATGCTGTTCAATCCATTGAAAGTGGACGGTGTGGCCCCAAAGACTATGGTAGTCTTCTTACCTGAGTAGAACACGCCTTTCGGCGGACGACGTCCATGGAAAAGTAGAATGACCAACAGTGAGAAGGGAAAGGGAAGTAGCATATCTCGCGTAGTATTCCCAATTGAGTGAGTGACCATTGCATCCCAGAGTACCACATCACCATCACTGCCTTCCGGAAGCTGTCACTGCTTCCAGTTCCCTCGGCTACACCATCTCCACTCCGATGTATTACCCCTGAATCTCGACCATCTCGAATGCCGGAGTGACTGCTCAATACGAGGACTTGGTCCGAAGCGGCGACGAACTCGCGTGCAAAGACCGCCAATCATTCTAGCACGAGCCGCGGACTATCTAGTTCCACAGATACCACGGCATGCGGCACGCAAAATGTCGATGTTTAAAGAGTTGGCATCCAATCGACACGCATAGTTCTGTACGTAGCATAGACATGCATCCAGCCAAAATGCATGTCACATGGTTTATCTCGGCGAGCATTTTGCTCTTCTCCAAAGTTAAGGCATCGCTCTATGGCGAAAGCAATTTGAACCACAGTTGTGTCCTGAGTACGCTCCAGCCCAGCCTCCAACATTTACAGCTAACAATTCGAAGGTCCAAACATCCTTTCGTGTTCGGCTGGCGCAGACCCGTCTCAAGTCGACACTTGCTGCGTTGAAACCTACGGCGGACTCGTCTTGAGCACACAGTTTTGGGACACTTACACCGGGCTCGAGGACCGAGGCCAACTGCTTCCGAAAGACAGCTGGACGCTGCACGGCCTGTGGCCCGACTTTTGCAACGGCTCATACACGGGCTACTGCGACCTCTCGAGGCAATATGACCCAGACCCGTCGCCTAGCACTACCGACGACGGTAAGGAAATACCACCATACACGGGTCCCGACATTGGCACGTTTTTGGAGCCCTTTGGCAAATACGACCTGCTCGAATGGATGAACACGTACTGGATTGCCCAAAGCCAGCCAAACGCCGACTTTTGGGGCCACGAGTTCTCCAAACACGCCACTTGCTTCTCGACGTTTGACGCACCATGCTACGGTCCTCAGTACAACAACACGCCGCATGTGGACGTGGTCGATTTTTTCGAGGCTGCCGTTCTCTACTTTAGGCAACTTCCGACTTGGGAGTGGCTCGCGGATGCTGGCATCACGCCGTCTAATACCACCAATGCCAGGTACTCCATCTCTGATATCCAGGGCGTATTGGTGGAGCAGTATGGCGCCGTGCCGTACGTCGGGTGTTCGGGGTCAAGGTACAATGAGACCGATGCCGGCAGTGGAACGACGGATAGTGGGCGGACGGTGTTGACTGAGGTGTGGTATTATTCACATGTATATGGCCGGCCGCAGGATGGGCACTCTGTGCCGGTGAATGCTTCGGGGAGCACAACGAGCTGCGCGACCTCAGTCGGTGCGATTAGCTACTTTGAACGGGCTGACGGCTCGGAGAGATCGGTGTGAGATGTCGAAGCATTGCGACGAAAGCCGCTTCATTTGAGCATGTGTATAGTGAGCGTTAGTCGAGAATTTGCTGTAACCGACGTCGAGGAAATCCAATGGCAGGCGATAGAATAATGTTGTGGAAAAAGAAGCGCTGTTTGTGGGGAGAGCTTCGACGCTTCGACTGCGGAGGACCGCGCCCCGCAACGTCCGACGCGCCGACGTTGCGCGACCAGGATGCGATGCCACTCTTGCTTGGAGACTTGAATCTGTAAATCGCTGTCCCTTCTCAACCAAACCTCTATCTGACAAGGACCAATCTCTCCAATCCCACTCCCTGCAACCTCACGCCCGGTCCTTCATCATGGGCTGGTTCTCGGGCTCATCCGGCGATCCTTTCAAAGACCTCGACCCTCAACTCAAGGACTTTCTTGACAAAGAGGTATCACATTTTCGAGCTGGACCTCCAGAAGTCGCCAAACCTCCCCCAAAAGCGCCTGAGCCGACCCCGCAAACCACAACGGAATCTAAGGTCCCCCGCGAATCGCTATACCAAGATGGCCGCTACGCACATCTTTGGAAGAACTACCGACCGATGTCAGAAGTGGACGCAGGATTTGCGACGGAGCGAGAACAAATGAGCGAAATGTCTGCGACACTCAAGGACCAGGTATCGGCAGCCAAAAAGGCGGCCATGGAGAACTGTTCCGTCGAGGACATGGCCATTAGCGAGTGCTACAGGAGCGGCACCTACATGGACCGAATGATGATGTGCAGGAAGGAGAACAAGGCCTTCAACCGCTGTTGGACGATGCAGACGCAATTCCTCAAGGCGTTGGGCTATCTGGGCGTCGCGGGGCGCGATCCCGAGATGGAGGAGAAGGTCCAGATGCACGCTGATCGCCTCTATCAACAGATGCTGGAGCAGGAGCGGCTTATCAAGGAGGCTAAGGCCAAAGGCGAGCAGCCGCCTGAGTTTGACAGCTTGTTGGGCCAGAACAATGTGTCAGCGACTAGGGAGGCTGCCTATTCCAAGGCTCGCGCCTTGAACGCCGAGGCCCAGAGCCAGCACGCGTCGATCATGAAGAAGAAGATGGAAGAGCAGCAGGAGGAGAAAGAGGCGCAGCGGAAGAGGATTGAGGAGCAAAGAGTAGAGACCGAAAAGCAGGAGATCGAGGCCATGCCCGTATCAGCGTCGGTCAAGACGGAGATCGAGCATAGGCTCAAGGACCGCGTTGGCTTGGACAGAGAGCTCGAATTCAGGGCTATCAAGGCCGAAATCGCCCAGCGCCAGGAGATTGCGAGCAACTCTATTGCACTGATTGAAAAGCAAAAGGCAAACATGGCCGCCAGACGAGAAGCCGGGCAAGAGACTTTTGGGGATCGAGTGAAAAGACTGTGGGGTGGCTGGGATTAAGCTGGAGAAGAAGCTGCGAGGCATGACAACGGTGTTGTGGGGCTGAAAATGATCCCCAAGGCGTGAATCACATGACCCTGGTGGTGTTTGAAATGGAGTCTTTTACTATGGCTACACAGCTCATGTGAGACTCAACCGTGTTCATGTCATAGTAGCTAATCCATGATTCCTCGGGCTCTGATTTTGGTCTCAGGCAAAAACTCCCATCCCCTCCGATGCTGACCCTGGGTATCATGGGCTGGTCAAAAGCCTTCCCAAACGCCGGAACTTGACCCAAACTCTATGTGGAAATACCATAATCATGCCACCAACGCGCCTGTGCTAACAAATTTAAGAATTTTGTCCAGCTTCATCATTGGTTGCGCAGGAGCAACCGCTTCTCCCTTGCTGGCCGAGCCCGAGGTTTCGATGCCGTCCATGACACCTTCGACTTCTTCCTCTTCTTCCTCCTCTTCGTCGTCCTCGTCATCATCCTCGTCGTCATCTTCAGCCGTCATGATTTCTCTTCCAATATTTCCACCCGCGGGTCCAGCCCAGTCCCATAGTTGCTCGATTTGATCGCCTGTAAGACCACCGTGTCCGGGAAGCTTCCCATTCTCGTTCATGTCTCCATCAGACCCGGCAGCATGCTTGACTCCGTCGGCGATCCAGTCTTCGACCCAAGGCTCGAGTTTCTTCCGAGTCAACTGTGTGGCCATGATCTCATGAGACCTGCCGGGAAATGTAGGGAGTGGATATGCATGGGCGCGATTCAGCAGCTCCTTGTTATCGTCAAAGACGCCAAGGAGGGCCAGCAAACGGCCATTTATGATGTTGGACTGGTGCGAAATGGTCTGCCAGGGCGGCGGCTGGATGTCCCACGAGTGTTGGAGCTGAGTATTCTTGAGAACCTCGATGGCGCCGTTGAGATGCTGCAGGCGCTGAGCAAGCAGGTCGAGAGTGCGTGTTTCGTCCTGTGGGGCGCGTGCAGTGGGCGCTGGTGCGGACATGGCGAGATCGGCTGAGGGTGATGTGATGGGAGCAGAAGAGAAGGTCCGATGGCGCGCGGGATCTTTGGTTTATAAAGTGACGGGCGAATCTACCACGAGCCGGAAGTTTTTCGGTAACCGAGCGAGTACAAATGCGACTTCTTCTGGCGGGCCGTGGTAAAGGATGGAACTGTCAAAGATGGTGTTGGTCTCTCGAGCTTCAGGACAATCCCGAATGGCACGACAGGCGGTGCGAACCTTTTTGCGGGGACGCGAGTCAGTCGCCGCCTCGGCCCGCGCCTCTGCCTCTGCGCGACGCGCTCTGCCTCCGACGCATGCCTTGGTCGACCAAGGGAATGCATTGAGCAAAACAACCTCCCAGCAACGCTACTACACCCCCTCGACTCTGTTGCTCGCATCAAACTACCCCCAAACCATCGATTCGTCCATGGCAGTCCCATCGAGCTCCGACGCGCGAACCAATGGCACAAAAACGCCAACCACGCCGACGCCCAACGTCAACGGATTTTCGCTGACTGAATATGCTGCGAACCCGTCTCCAAGCTCTTCGTCGACTCCCAATGGACAGCCGAAGTTCAAAGTCCCCGAGCATTTCCTCCTGCCCAATGGATATCCTGATGTAGGGCCTTCTTTCAGACCAGTCATGATGCCATGATCTGACTGCCCACCAGTACTTGAGACTCATCCTCACCTCGCGCGTCTACGAAGTCGTTGAGGAAACCCCCTTGACCCATGCCATCAACCTCAGCAATCGCCTTGAATCGAGGGTCTTGTTGAAGCGCGAGGATCTCCAGCCAGTCTTTAGCTTCAAACTGCGCGGCGCATACAACAAGATGGCACATTTGGACAAGGGCCAGAGCTTCAAGGGTGTTGTTGCTTGCTCAGCAGGTGCGAAACACAGCCCCATGGACCACTGCGACTGCTGACATTTGGCAGGAAACCATGCCCAGGGCGTTGCCTACTCTGCGCGCAAACTCAAGATCCCCGCGACCATTGTCATGCCCCAGGGCACCCCGGATATCAAACACAAGAACGTCTCGAGACTGGGCGGACACGT